GTTAGAAGGTGGCGGCAACAATAGAGTAAAAGGATACACAACAGGTGTCTATTTTAGACAAGTGACAACATCGAGAAGAGGTGACGAACAACTAGACAACAAAGTGTTTGGTTGTCCAAGCCGGCGACAACATGTGATTGGTGCACAAATAGCAGGTACGACAAAGGCTAACTATCCTAGGATGGCGACAACGAGAAAAGGAAGGTTGCGTAATACCCAATTTTGGCAAAATCAGGTAAAATTTTGACTATTTTAAAATATACCCAATTTTTCACATTCCTAAGGTTCAATCAAACTATTTTCATAAAATTTTTCATGTTCAATCATTCCCATTGATATATAAAACTATATATTGATTATGGATATATTTGAAACTATAAAAATAAAAACATAAAAAATTAATTAAACTAACTAAGCATCCACTTAATTTCTTAATCACTAGGCAATGAAGCACCGCCTTTTTCCGTGTCAAGCAACAGATAGATGAAATTGAAGGGCTAGGATTTAATTGGATCAAAATAAATACATCTTTCTTTCATTTTTTTCCCATTTCCCTCTTCGACTCTTCTTCCTGCAGAGAGTACCCGCTCGGGTACTGTATCAAGCACGACCAACATGAATGGTAGAGAGAGCCGCTGCTGTAGATTGGGAATTCTAGGAAATACGTAGCAAGAAGAATCCGCACTTTCAAGCTATTTGGAACATTCATTTATTTTCCTAAAATCATTATCTGTGGTTTGCCATGATTTGAAGCACTTTTGTGTTCCTTGTCATTGTGGAGGGAGGCCAAATAGTGGTCGAAAGATCCAAATTTGGATTCTTGGTTGTTGATAGGAATGTTAGTTGTATAACAATGAAGAGAATAGGAAGAACGGAAAATAGAAGAAAGAAAAAAGGAATAGGGAAACCTTTAGGCTAATATAATGAGTGGGCCCCACTCCCATCGGGCTGCACTTCCAAGCCGAGAAGGGCCTATTGGCCTCTTAGATACCTAGAACAAACTAGTTCCTATGTGCCCAAGAGCCTCGTGGATCTCCAAACGCCCAAAAAGAGGTCGACACCGTGCCACTATACAAAAACTATTCTTTTCTTGAGCAAAAGATTCTCCAGCTCTACCTCTTATCATTTTCTTCCAACTAAAACCTCTTGAGCTAGCCCTTGCCTTCTCAGGTGATTTCCTTAAGTCTTGACTTCTCTATCATCACTGCATGATATTGGAACTAGTAGGGAGAACGGTGGAACAGAAAATTTTTTTTTTATTAATGTTGAAATAAGATTACAACATGACTCAAATAGAAAGAAAATATGATAATAGGTGAATCCCCCGGTTGGGGAGGTAGGAAGGTTTCAATTGTGGTGGTGGTGGTGGTGGTGGCGTTGGCAGGATGGTAGGGCAAGATGGGAGATGTCGGGTGAGAAGAAGCGAAAGAGATTGCAAGTTTACAACACCACCTTAAAGCAGGATACAGCCGAAACACCTTTTTTGGTTAGACACAACCCTAACAAGAGAGAAGAGCACACAAAAATAGCAAAAAAAGCCTTTATCCCAATAAGTGGGATCGGCTACATGAATCCTTTTTCTCTCTCTAGACCAGACAACGAAAAAAAAAATTTCAATGTCTCGATTTTGGTGCTTTATCCTTGTGAAAAGAATAAAATGAAAACTCACCAGATCCAAGATATTAAGTACCCTTGTGCATTTTTTTAATGTGGCAGAAAACAACTATCAACAGCTTCATCGTTGGCAATTTTTATGGTGAAAACCATCACACGGCCCATCTCCAACACAAATCAACAGCTAAAACGATTTTCAAATCACACTAAAAAAACCAGCATTTAACATAATTGAACACATACAAGAACCCATAGAATACTTGATAACTTGACAATAAGCGTGAATGAAACATTCCTGCCGCATTTAGAACTCGATAGATTGATAGTAATGAACACAGTAGCTTGTCGAAAAGCAAAGCAGGACTACGAATTGAAAATGATGCACTCGCAAAAGAAAAACAACACGCAATAACGACAAAAATTTATCTTCCTGCTACAAGAGATATTGGAGCACGTACCAAGAAAAATAAGATCACTCATTAATGGGTAGAAGATTCAGTATTTTGCAGATATCAATCTTCATCTTTTAGCTGTTAAGAGCCCAAAATACACTCAAATGGTAGATTGAATTGTAAGATAACGGTGGACATATATTGGCCATAATGAATACTATTAGAATCTTTTAAGTTGTTGATCTTACACTTGAAGAGCCATTTTTATCATTAAAGAGGGTAATAGAATTAAAGACAATGATGACCTTCGTATTTAATGTATGGAGAAACATTTACATTTCCGAAGCAAAACAACTATTGGAAAAGCAAGTGATAATTTAAAAAAACAATCATAAATGCATGTTTGATAAAAGATTTGCTTTACTTTTAACCGTGTTTGATTTTTTTGCCTTCAGAAAAATTCTTTTATGAATTTTTACTTCATCTAGGTGTTTTCAATAGAGAATAGTAGAAAGTTATACACTTTATATAAATAAATTATCAAAAAAAATAATGTTTAAGCTATATCATGTCAAATTTTTTATAATTTTATTGCATCATGCTGCTCATGTGTCACTGTGTTTGTGCTTCATAGATCAGCAATTGATGGAAACGTTCCACACCACTGAGCTAGCAAAGATAGATATCACCAACTTTCTCTTGAAGAGAATCTGAACATGGCTCCAATTTTTGGGATAAAACCTAAGCACATGAGAGGGATCTTCTAAATTCTACCAAGGAATTAGATGAATCATCATAATCATAAAGTACATGATTTGCAATTGAAATTGACAACCCTTTAATTAAGAACGAGGAGGAACAATGTGATTGAATATCTTCAAATTCCACCTTTTGCAAATATCTAGACAACAAAACACAAACCACAACTTTTAGTAAAAAATAGTTGTAACAACCCGCTCGCCAAAGCTCTAGTCACAAAGGGCCCAAAAAAATGAGCTATCACACTTCAAAAATGGAAACCAAGGAGAATAAGGTAGACTAGTCGCAGCACTGCTGAGAAAGTCATATAGATGATAACCAAGCTAAGCTGATAGAAAACATTTTAACAAGCGCATTGGGAGACCATTGATACAGTAAATAATCTTGAGAAGAGATAAATGAAGTCAATCTCTAACGAAAAGCACATAATAACATGTCCAGGGTTAATGAGCCCAAAATAAAAAAAAAAAAAGGAAAACACACATCAGCTGCAAATTAGACAAGATTTTGCAATTGCATCTTAAGTTATATTGTAAGGATAGATACTCTAGGAGATAAGGATGTGGCTTATAATAGTACTTGCACATATTAAGATGGGTAATCATTTTTATAATATGGAGTTATGTTTTATTTCATCTAAAGCTGATTCATTTAATAAATATATTGCATCCCAGTTAGTTCATTACAATTTATCTTTCGTATGTAAAAAGGTCCTTCATATTATTTTGAAGGAAGTATATGGTTTTGTATTGTCTACCTTGCTTATACTGTATGAAACCTCCGATGCTTTATGGATAGAATGTTGGCCTATAAAAGAGAAGCATAAAACTAAGTTGAGTGTTGCTGAGATGAGAATGCTTAAGCGGATGAATGGCTTTACATTGGGCAAAATGCGAAACAAAATGAGAAAAAATTTGGCTCCAATGGCGGGCAAGATTAGAGAAGCTCCAATGCAGGCAAGATTAGAGGGTCATCTTAGATGGTTTGGTCGTATTAAACGTTGATCATCTGATTGTCTTGTTAAGAGAGTAGATGTTTAGATTTGACTTATGTTAAAACATGTAGAGGTATACCTAGATTTGATAATGTGGAAGAAACAATGATCTTAATTTATTAGAATTAAATGAAAATATGAAACTCAATAGGACAATAGAGAAAAAGGATTCATGTAGCCGACCCCACTTTTAGTGGGATAAAGGGTTGTTGTTGTTGTTGTAGTTGTATGGGTATTCTTGCATTTGCTGCTGGAAGATAGTTATCACTTAATTATACTAGTCGAGGTACTATCTTATAAACTAGTATAAAAATTTAACATTTCACCTTAAACAATAGTAAATAAATGAGATAATGCCCTTCTGTACCAAACAAGGGGTGTATTGATCAGGGATTAGATACCACGATCCTAATACAAGATGTATCAACCATGGACAAGTTAAGATTATGTATAACAAGTTCTAAGATGGATGGTATAAGTTACAATAAGATGAGATCAGAAAATATTAAATCTCTTAATGTCAAGTTGAATGATACAATCATATTTGTTTATAAATCTACCAACTAAATGATGTTTATGATTATAATTACAAATGGAATGGAAAGCCAAGTTATAAAGTTTTATAACTTTTTTAAAGCTTAAATATAATAACCTGCATCCATATTATTTCTTTAATATGTGGATTTGTTGTGGTTCAAAATTGTGATATACCGGAGAAGTTATAAAATTGAGTTGATAAATGATTTTCAAGAATATTTCTGGTGTAAATGGATAAAAGAAAAAGGTTGTTAACAACATGCGTGAAGTCAAATGTTAGTTAATTATATAATTACCATAGTTATAAGAATATTTCAGATATTTTCCCTTCAAATGTTTATTATATATCAGATGAATTATTTCAAAAAGTAAATGAACTTCATGATGAACGAAATATTTTGCTTTAGCAACCCATTTGGGATATTGGAAGTCTTATATGAGAAGAAAAAAATTGGTTTCAAATGTTAAATTTATGTAGAAGGTATAATAAACTTCAAACTTCTGTCCAATTATCCAAATTATGCACAAACAAAAAGTTTAAAGCAAAATAAATCCTAAGCCAGTTTAAAGTTCAAAGGCGTCGTAGACACAATCCAGGTTTGAAGAAATGAATTAATTAACATTACAAACCATTCAGCAAAGGCAAAAAATAATGTAAAATGGTATAAAATAATACAAATTTAAATTACAGATTGATAAATTACCTGCAAATTTTGCTGGGTCATATGCTTTAAACCCCTCACTTTATTAAACTCAGAACGTGATTCTTGCCTTCTATCTAAAAGAGAGTCGCGCTTTAATATATCACGTTCTAGAATAGCCCGTTGACCAAGCAAGCTCTTAATTTCTCGTTCAGCCTGAGCTTTCTCTCCCTTAAATGGAGATGTCTCACTAAACATGGGGAAAAAATTCTATTCATCACAAAAACAAGAGAGTTAACTACCTCAAGCTTGACTTTTTCCTGTGTAATATTCTTGAGCTTGCACTCTGTATCCTTCAATTTTGACTTGCTCTTATCAAGTTCCTTTCTCAATGCTTCCTTCTCCCGTGTCAAAGAAGATGATGATAATTGAGATACTTCCTTCTGAAGAGCAAGAATCTGAGAGAAGAGTTCATCCTTCTCCATATCATGATGAAGACCTTGATCCTACCAAAAATTTTACATAGTCAACAAAAGCAGGAAATGTTAAACAACCAAAATTAAAAAAGAAATAGCGAGCCATGAACTAACCGCGGCAATCTTCTCCCTCTTCTCCAAATCGGACATAAGCTCATGGATTTGCCTCTGATGATCATAAAACTTGTTGCTCAAGTGATTATGAATAAGAATTGAAGTATTTCTTAAAAAGAGGCAGCAATTTAATCTGTTCTACCAAACCAAGAAAAAAAGCATAAGCAAAACATACATTCTCGATTTCAGATTCCTGATATTTATTGCTCAAAAAAGTATTGATGCTTTTATGGCCAGAAATAATGGACTTCAATTGCACCATACATGACCTAGGAAGCACCGTGAGACTCTACAAAAAATTAGAAGAGAAATATTTAAGTAACATAAGATTCAAAGTTCAAAACTTAATATATATGAAAGGGAAACAAAGAAATTGGTGGATATATATCAAAATTTTAGTAAGGGAATATGTAAATGCAAAATCAAAATAAGGGAAATAAGGGTATTTTCTCTATAATTTTCAAGAACAAGGGTAGCATGCAAATTTCATAACTAATAAATCAATTTGTACGCCACAAGAAGAACCATCAGCACAAAGCAAACTATGAAGGAGTTTTACTGCTTAAAACGCAGAGCAATGAGCGTGTTCACAGACACTGAAGATTAGGCCTCCAAAAGTTTTATATAACAATGGACAATAAGATTTCTCGAATAACCAATAGCACATGATTAAGTAAAAAAAGGAGCAAAGTGAACTAGATACAAACATAGAAAAATTAAGCATTTCTAATAGAGAAAATTAAAAGGAAAAGTCACTGTAGTAACCGTAATATAAAAATATATAATAATTATAATAATAGTAATAATAATAAATTTAGTTGTAAGGTTGATTCGAAAAAGGAATAACCATCTCAATAGTTCTAATTGGGAGACAAACAACTCATTCTAACAGGACGAAGCATTGAAATCGAGAATAAAAAAGAGCAAGTGACACCGTTCTAGGGAGCCTACGAGTTGGGGAAGGTGATTTAGCAAGGAAATGGTTATGGAAGGGCAAAAAAATGATAATATGCGAGCTTGACGGCATTTAAACAGAGAGAAGCATCCTTCGACGGCTGCTCCGGCTGAAAACAACAAAGAAAACTAGGAAACAATGCACATATGGCGAGAAGATTTCCCACATGTTTCTGCACAAGCTACAAATACACCACAGGCAAAAGAAAAAGAATATAAAATTCCTAAAGCATGAAATCAGAGCAAACATCTCTAAAATACATACAAAAAAGCCAAAATTCTCCAAAATAATAAAAAAACTGAAATTAAACTCTTTAGAAAAAACAAAATAGGAAATAAATGTCATGAACCGGCCTGATAGATTCAAATTAACTAAGTCACGAATTGTGGTTGGATGGTGAAAACATTTAAATAATTATCTACAGATTTATAGAATCTTCCAATGTATAAAAGAGTCACTAAAATCTACAAAGTGCAATAAAAAGAAAATAACGAAAAATCACATAATCTAAAGACACCTTATAAAATAACAAAAAATCACATAATCTAAAGGCGCCTTAAACCAATGCGACACAACATAACACAATCAGAAAGAACAATACAAAGAAACCGTTATCATAAAAATCTAGTAGTATTGGTCCTCCTGTACACCAAGTTTCTCCTATCAGACATACAACCTATAATTTTTTCCTAAAAGAAAATATTAATCGCAAGAGTAATTTTCACTTAATGACTAATTATAATTTTTATATGTAATAAATTATTATGTCAATGCTATGTATAAATGACAAAAAAAATGCATTTCATTTATCTATAAAATGTTAAACTTTTAGTTTTAAGTTATCCTTTCTCGTTTCACTTTAAGTATTTACCGTTTAATCATTTTTAAGAATCATAACAGGATTATCATTATACTAGAAGGTATTCTAAAAAATGTACCTGAATGTATCATCAAAAATATACTCGAAGGTACCTTAAAAATATACCCGAATGCATCATTAAATTGCACTCGAAGGTACACATTTATTATTTTCCTTCACGTGCACGGGTACATCTCCCCTGCTAGTATCATCTGAGAGTAATCCTATATCACTTAATTTTTTACATTTAATTTCATTTAAATTATTTATTTTAAAAAAAATATTAAACACTCATTTTTCTTTTTTTCCATTTCATTTCCTTAAAAACTTTCAAGCTCACAAAATACATATAATTATAAAATGACAAATTAAAGCATCACAAGAATTACTTATTAAATATATAAGAAAATAATTACTCATCTTTATTTTCAAGAGACCTCTGACATAACTTAACCCTTCCCTTTGCTTTTTCAAACAACCACCTATATTAAATAAGTGTGTATAAATTTAGATAAGAAACTGATTCTTAAAAGAAATGACTAAAATGTGGCTAATTTTTTTAAAATATGTATCTTTTGAATAAAATATTCTTATCAAATTTACCCGTAAAAATGAATATCCATCAAATGTTATTATTATATGAGTATATATAAAAACAAAAATTACCTCCACTTATTTGTTTCATGCTCCTTACAAATTTGCGTTCTAAAATACTTAGTCTTTTGAATCTAACTTCTTAAATCCCTGATTTAGATCATAATATAAACATTATATAAATAACACAAAATAATTTCATTAATTAATTTAATAAAACCCAATGTACCTTAAAATCTTTTGTCTGCCCAAATATCTTCACTTTTCCCTTGCACACGAAGCTTGTAAATCCTCCTTCGAAAATCTTACATAAAACAATCCTAATAAAATAAAATCTTACATAAAACACACACACACACACTTTATAATATTATATTAATTAGCTTAATTAAACATAAATCTTTACATTTAACATTAAATCATTCGGTGGCCTGCCCTAACTCACGCACGAAGGCTCAATCCTCTGTTTCTTCCTGCTTCGACCTCTACTCGATCGCGCAATCTCCCTTATCCCTTCGGCCTAGACTCGAATCAAAATAGTGCAGAGCCTCTTTTTTTAATTCTTTCGACTTCTGCTTCTTCCTTCCTCTCCTTCGAATGATACGTGCGACACGCAGAGTTGTGCCTCCGGTTATGGCTTCCTCTACACGCAAAGGCGGCTTGGCTTAACTTCTCCTTCGACCAAGTTCACTCACAGATAAGGTCATTGACCCCTCCTATTCATCTCCTTCAACTTCCTCATAAACTAGGACATGATAGAGATTCCATCTCTCGATCTCTCTACTCTAGCTCTCGCTCATTTTCTCGTTCTCTGTTCACTCTATGATGGTTAGAAATGAAAAATGATCGAGAAATGCCCTCTCCCACTCAACTTCACTTAAACGAATCATCGTGACTGCTCAATTCAGTATTATTATTATTATTTAATTATTATTACTATTTATTGATTTATTTAAAATTCAATTATTGCAATAAAAGCCCCATGACTAGTAAAACCCAACACAACATAAGATTTCCTGCTACAACACAGCCTAGGAGGGGAAGCAGTTTTGATACGCTACTGGGATCGCGAGATGTAGTGATCCGCCTGACGCATAAATCACCACAACCCTCTCAACACGAGAAATATCGCAATCTGCTCGATGTTGGAATCGAGATGACCGCATTATTCTCATTGGGTAAAAGAAGTCTCATCATCTTTACTTGAAGCTATTAGAACTAATTCACCACCACCATAATAAAATCATCGTCATGTTGTGTCAAAGGCAACTCTAATACAGAATCTATGCTCAAATCTATTTCAGACAACTCTAAAATACATGTCATTTCAAAGTCTATTCTGATAGAATAAATAACCATCCTTCATCGGCACAATAAGAGCCGGAACTAAACAAAGGCAAGTGTTCTCATGTACTAAGTCTCTAACCACGAGTGTGCAGCCTATTTTAATAATTTCTAATATTCGATTGGTCGCATCCCATAAGAGAGTGTGTATGAGAAAATAAATCCCCGAAAGAGGCCTACAACATGTTGATCCTCTTTTAGTAGTAGCCACCCAAAAAGTAAATTGTCAGTCAGCAAATCCAACTCCCTCGACCGGAGCTACGCCTCTTCTGGTATCGGTGCATCAAACATACTACCTTCTAGAACAACCAAGATTAATCATATTCTAGTCTCTTTCATGAGCTCAAACTTGAATCACTAGTATCTCTCCCACATTATACTCCTCTTTGATGTTTTCATTCTCTTACGTATCACTATCCATTTATTCAATTGCTCTCAACGCAACGAGATATCAATCTCCTGTTTAAGTAATCTGATTCAATCTACCCAAAACTATGGCACTTGAAGCACTTGTTCTCCGGGGCAGATTTAGTAGCATTGATGGACTTCATTTTTTCTCCACTCTGAATTAATTTCTCCTTAGACAAGGTTGGGCTTGGATGCTCCACTGGGTTTGTTTTTGCTGTATGGTCCTAGGGTTAAACCTTGTATGCAAAGTGTGGCACTCATATGGTGACGTTCGTTTTCAAAACCAAGGTAACCACATTGAGTAGAAACCAATACGACTAGGGTGTAACGAGCCGAGCTTGAGCGAGCCCAAGCTTGGCTCATGTTTGGCTCGTTAAAAAATAACACAGTTCGTGTTCGACTCATTTATACGACTATATTTATACTATACTAGTGACAACTTGTTTCGGCCCTCCAAAATACCTCTCTATTGTGTACTTCTATTCCACCAACTTACAATTTAGCATGAATCGATCAAATTCACTTGCTTACTCCACCTAGAATCTCTAGAGACCAGGTGGTGGATTTTAATGAACGTATCATATCGAAAATGTAAATAAAAATATTTGCAATGCATCTCCCAATTCATGTTACAATAGGTGGTGATACTATGCTTCCCTTCCCAAATGTTGAACATGCTTAAAGTTCTCCCACCACAAGAAAGTGTTCTTCCCAAGCTCAATGACTGGCAATTTAATTTTCATCCTCAAGAACGTCTTTAAGATCAAAAATTTGATTCATTATTTAGAGTCATTTGATAAGCTCATCTAGATCCATGCGACCTTCAAAATCTGATAATTTAATAGTCACTTCAACATCCTAATTTCTCATTTAATATTCAATGTCAAATCAATGTGACGTCGACAATTTGTCACTTGAAGCTTTTTGTTGGAACAAATTCAGTTCCTTCTCTTGATTTAGTGAGCCACTAATAAGACTGTGGGTAACCGCACCGGATTATCTCCGCTCAAACGCAACAAGCTTCTTTTGCAATTGTAAGATTTGTAGTTGCATGTCCTCCATCGTAAGCTCCTAGACACCTCACTAAGGTTTTCTCCATAGTGGCATGGCTTCATTTCTCATGACCAAG